TATATATATATATATATATATATATATATATATATATAGTAATTTTGTATATTATAATACTCCAGTTATTCTCCCTTTCACTATTAACTTTCCCCTGTTTTGTTACAAGCCTCCTTTAAACATTCCTATCTATCTATCTATCTATCTATCTATCTATCTATCTATCTATATTCATTTATATATTTGTGTCCATTGAGATTACTCAGGGGCATCCCTATGATGGGGACTGTTTGTGAGACCTTAACAGTCTTCACAGTAAGAGATAAATGAAGACATAAACTGTTCCTCCCCCCAGAGTCCATCAGTATCCAGTAGTTTACCTGGAAGAAGAAAAGATTACAGGAGTCTCTCCCTGATCACTTATAAGATATCCATAGGAAAAGGCTGGTGTGGAGCTGAGGTATCTATCCACAGTTAGTGGAAGTCATGACTGGAGTGGCTGATGCATGCAAGGAACAGTACCTCACTGTTCCTCTGTCTTCTGTTTCTTGCATTGTTTCTATTCCCTCCTCCATAGTGATCCCTGAGACTCAGAGAAGGTGACATAAACATCTTGTTCATGGCTTGATACTCAGCTATTACTTATCCATATGCTCCTTGAAGCATCTCTGCATTCACTGCTGTTTGTTTCAAAGAGAAGATTTTATTTGTCTAGGAGTATTACTTGCCCATGAGTGTAAGGGGGCATTTTAGCACAATTAAAAGTTGCCTAAACAGTGGCAGAAAATTCTTTCCTGGGACCTAATACCTGGCAGCCATGCTTCTTTGACTGTGTTTATACTAATGGGTTTGAAGTTTCTCTTGTGGAGAGTGCCAGGCAAGTTTTATTGGTTATCCCCACATTACTCACAGTATTTTTGCATAGAGTGGTGCATCTTGCTTGGAAGATTAGTGTTAAAGGTATTAGTTAAAGGTATTAGTTAAAGATTAGTGTTAGGTGAAAGGTCAATGAGAAGGAAAAGCACACTAGGAGCTGAGTGAGTCAAGATCATTCAGACTCTTGTTTTGGGGGAGAAAACCTGTAGAGGATGTCTGTAACAATAAGAGCCCACCATACACTTATGAGCCAGGGTCTTTATAGGGCAGAAAGGGGGTAGGTTAAACCAACCCCCCCCCACCTTCAGTTGTTCAGTTGGCCCTTGCTAGGAAAACCCATGAGATATCAGGTAAGGAAAAGTGATAACAAGCATCTTTCTGGGCTGGCCATTCCTTGGACTCCTTAGGTCAGGAGAGGCAAGAATCTAGAGATTCATACATGGTCCAGGTAAGGCAGCCTTCCCAGTACCTCCTGGAAGTATTGAGGCTAGCCAGAGGGAAGAAGCTTTTTTGTTCAGTTCTAGCTTGATTTCCTTATGTAAGTTTTCTATTTTGTTTCATCATGGCCATGTATGAGTTTTATCAAAACTGTAATACTCTGAAAAGTAGAAGGGAGGAATCAAACTTGTTTTAACATATCAAAGATTTAAATTCTTACAGTGAGAATATGCATTTTGTAACTATAGTATTGCTGCATGACATGAAAAAAGAATGCATACGTGTATGTGCATATAAACTAAAAATATTCATGAAGTATATATGCATACATATGTAATAAGTTCATTAAAAATCTCAGATATACAAATTTGAGGCTTCTAATGTTTATGGTGAACATATATTTCAAGGTTTTAGATTCACTAAGTGTATGAAGCTGTATTCAAAGACACTGATCTATTTCTTCAGGTTATGCATAACTCAATCAATTTTTGAGCTAGGAAGTACATTTGTGTTGTAATATTGACTGTAACAAATTGGCTTTGGATCAAAGGACTTAACATCTCATCATCCTAAAGCCAGTAAGTGGTAGAAAGTCCTTTCCCTAGCACTACAAAACCCACTTACATTGAGAAAATTATATGATACAGAAAAACATTTTCCCCTAAAGTTTTAGATAACACAGTGGGCACAGAAATTCCATCAATTTGGTTTCTTCATTCAAGTAAGTCTGTAATATCTTTTCTCTGCCAATCTTTTGTATAAGCCTCAAATTCTATTACTCCTTCTGATTCAAAATGAGATATCACTACTTGATTGTCCAGCAAGATTATGAAATTGTCAAACAGTAAACAAAACAAAAGAGAATAATATTTGAAAATACACAAGTGTCGGCATTTCTATATACTGTTATAGAAATCTTCATACTATTCAGACCAAGTTATTACTACAATAAAAAAATATATAGCATTGCTGTTTGTAGTAAGACTTAAATAGGTTAAAGCAAATCAGTCTCAAATCAGTTTTAAAATGAGCATTTTAAAATTGATTTTGTAGTGAGAATATATACGACTTAAGATTTCTGTTTCATATTGGTAGCAATAATGAATGAAATGTTTGACTAAGAATGTTAAGACTTTTATATTCTAACTGTGAGACTATTCCATCTTTACATTGAGCACTAAGTGTGACCCACATTTTTTTTTTTCTGTCATAGTAATTACTTCTAGGCCCTTAGCTCTGCCTTTCTCTGGCATCTACTTAGAAGGGTAGGGATTTTACCTCTTCCGTGAATGACAATAGTCTGGATGGGAGGGCATGAGGAAACTGGAAGGTAGTAAACTTATGTAAAAATCTCCTTTTCCTCCATCCCAACAGCTGTCACTCACTGGATATTCCCAACAGGCCAATTCTGAGAACAAGAGCCTTGTCTGTCTGCTTGTCATCTTTATAGAGACCTCCCAGCAGGCAGGGTGACAAGACTATCTACCTGGTATATTTAAGATTGAGAATATATGGAAACAAGAATAGCATTATGCAAATTAATGAGAATGGCAGGCCACTCCCTTCATTGATGGCTCATTTAGCACAAGTAACTCCAGTGGCTAGGAGCACAATGGAGATCCCAAGAGAATTAGCAGCCAGCTTGTGTCTCATCCGTAACTGCTGACTGAGGCATGTACCTTTTACTCTTCATTGTCAAAAGCATCCCAGGCTGGATGTCAAGCTCCACGGGGTCAGACAAGGCATTGTTGCTTCTTTTCCTTTGAACAGATCAAATTGCAGAACTATTTATTGTTCTGCTTAAAGCACACACTTTTCTTGTTGTTGTTGTTGTTTTTGACATTCAAATGCTTGATTGACAGTACCCTGGGAGATGTCATAGTTTCTGTAACAATCACTGTGGAACACTTGAGCAACAAACACGTCGTGATGATAGTCTCCAAGTTTCTTTAAATAGCTGTCAGTGTACCCACAGGATGGCCTCTTACAGAACTCACTTTGCCAACAGTTTTATACATCATCAGCTGACACCTATTTGAAGAGCAGATAAGAAGGAAGGGAGCAAATGAAACAGGGGAAGAAAGGAGGTAGAGTAAGTTCATTAAGGGTCTTCAGCTGAAAGCAGCATGTGTGCAATGTCCATTTAAGAATAGAACTGACAGCTTTTCTCTGGTATCATTTTGCCACAATGGCCTCTTTGACAATTTATAAAATGGACCCTTTGTAGATGTTACTGAGTGGCACTGCATACATTTGTGAATGCCCTGCATAACTAACATTCTCCCTTATGCCACATTGCCAGGATCTGTCCCAAGAGCCTTTTCTTCAACTAATCCAGAGAGCTGGCATATGGGGACTGAGTGAAGCCACTTAAACCCAAATAGAGTAATGTTAGAAACCCATCATTGCCTGGTGAAGCCAAAGGACTAACCAGGCTATAAATTACTCTTCTGCTAGAAGATACTTTGAACCATGTCACTGTACATAACATTAATTCAACAAGCATCCAGAAATTCCTAACTTTGTGATGAAGCTAGTATAGTCTGCTTCATTATTCCAAGCTAAATTTAGTATTTTGATTATATATAATAAAATATAAGTAATATAATGCCATATCTGTATGTATGTATTTGTCATTCTCAAGAACTGAAGAAGACAATGTTGCAGATATCTAGAAATGAGAATTTAAAAATGCATCTAAATAATGTATATAATATGAACATAATATTATAATGTTAAGATGTACAAAATTTAGTCTTAAACAGCAAATATAAAATGCATATCTAAAATTTTCTCATTCATTCTGAGTGTTGGAAAATTATATTATTTCCTTACTTTGTTAATATTATCACATGTTGCTATGCTTGAATGAGCATAAAAGGCACTTAAAACAAAGATGTTTCAAGATTCTGATTATTGCAAAGATGTGGCTTAGTGATAGAGGAGTTTGCTAGCATATATGTGATATTGACTGGGATACTCAATATTTGTATATACATGGAACTGTGTATATATATTTATATAAATGCTCTTTTATAGTTTTAAAAAATTATCAATGACAATGTTGTTCACCGTGCTTCCATGAAAACTGCATTATAAGTAATATTTTCATTAGAGGAGTAGCTATCTGCAGTTTTCAGTGACAGGTGGGAATATATTCTTTTCTTATTTTGAAGGAGAGATTTTTATTTAT